CTGGAGCTTAAAATAAAGAAGACTATAATATCCATGGAGTGAGTCTGTTTGATTCAGAAACTAAAATCCTTCACATTAAGCATTTGGAGCAAACAAAAAAAATAAACGGACCATGTAAAATAACAAAGGGTAAGTATAAGACATTTGGGGGTACACAAATACCTAATCAAGTATAATAAGATGCGGGGTAACCTGAATCTGCCGAAGAGCGGAGCACTCAATTCAGGTCTCAATCTCGCAGAAGGACTGCATGATGGGCGCCATTCCAGGGAAACAAGGAAGGAGGATTAAATTATCCCACATCAAGTACATAGCAGGCAGGAGGATTAAATTATCCCACATCAAGGTGACAGGTCTCCCTACGGTTCCTTCCCAAGTCGACCAGCGGCAGCGACGTTCTTCGGCGGCGGTGCGGCTCCACGGCGGGGGTGAGGGGAAGCGCGACTTGCGGGGTCGGCAGCCGTCGGCATGGCGGCCGGCGGGTCGGAGATCTGCAGGGCTCCCCTTCCCTTCCCATCTCTCCACCGATATGCTGCTCACTGAAATAACTCCAAAATTTAGATAATCTAGACCGTGTACATAGAATCCCCAAGTTTAGAGAAACTACTCCAAAACCGCACACAAAAAAATCACTCAGCCTCACTTGCGTGGAGACCGAGTCAGCGACAGCATCGAACATGGAGTCCTGCCGTCTTGCGCATGCAGGCCTCCGCCCCGTACCTTGACGCCGGATTCAGGCCCGGGTGCGGCGTCGTGAGCAGGCAGTGGCCGCAACTGTGTTTTTAGGAGTCGGCGTCATCGTAGGCGGAGGTCGCGGTCGTCGGGGTGGTGCGGGTGGCGGTGGCAGATCTAGGGCTAGAGAGGGAGTGGTGGAGCGCGGGGTGCCGGGTGGGCGGAGCGGCGGCCTCGCGGCCCCGGTGGGGGCGAGGACGGCGCACGACAGCGCGTCCAGGGGCAGGGGTGGCGCTCGGCTGGGGCGCGACCTGGCCCTCGGAGAAGCGCCGATGAAGGGAGGAGGGCCGCCGGGGACCGCCTCGGGAGAGAGGAGGAGGGTGTGCGACGAAGTTGGGGGCAGCGATGGGGGTGGGGATCGCACGGCACGGTAGCGCAAGGAGAGGGGCAGATGGAGGACGTCAATTGCGTGATTTCCTCGACCCCCTTTCCTTTTGGCTGCGATTGGGGGGGGGACGTGCGGTATCGCACGGAGCGGAGCGAAGACGACCCCCAAAAAAGTCGCATGAAAAAATAGTCTTACTTTTGTTCTTTTTAGTTGTAGGAGATTAAGCTCCTCAAGGACAGATTTGTAGGAATGGATCTCAACCTAGACGCCATGACCTTTGGCGTCCAGGGTCACATCTCGGCGTCAAGGTGGCTAATGAGGCAGCCGACGTGGCTAGGGTGGGTGCCGAGGCCTAGGTAAAAAGGTCATGTGATTTGCTCTGCTGCTTCGATTAGTATTGTAGGTTGTATGTTTTCTTTGTGTCTGGTGGAGCCTACCTCAAATCCAAAGATGACATACTAATTAACAAACCTGGATTGTATGGAGGAGCAAACATGTAGTGATGTAGAGCAGAAACAAGACCAAAGACTGCATTCGAATGCCATGCAAATCCAGAGTGTTGTCAATGCAAACAAAGGACTAATCGGATTTGACAAGTATTTCAGTATATAAATACGTAATTTTTACTATCTACCTGTCTAGATGTATAGTAAAAACAATATATCTAGAAAAGTCAAAACATCTTATAATTTAATATTGTGGAAGTGCGTGGCAACCACTGACGGAGTGCAGAATCGAAATCGGTGCTGTGTGTGGCACGTATGGTGGTTGGGTGTCACCAAGAGAAGCCTTAAGACGTAGGAGTGTATCTTTGTTGTAACTGATAAATTTAAAGAGCAGATCAAGAAAAGAAAAGGAGGATTGTGAAAACCGCTTTGAGAACTTAATAACATTTGTTTGCCTAAAAATAGGTTTGCTTTCAAACACGTTGCAGCTCCTCCATCTTCACTTTCTGTTTTGTGTGGGGAGGCGACCTACTGCGGCTGAAACTCAAGCTGCATGTTCAACCTACTGTCATGCAATCAAACTTGAAAAGCAAACAAAACTGTGCTACATGTACATATAAGTACAAGGCAAGGCGGCATTTCAGCATAATAAAGGATCATATATTATACTGCACGCTAATATATGTTGTCAACAACAGATAGCTACCAACGGATGTTACAGATTGATCTCTAATCCTTCCAGAGGGGGGGGCACACTTCCGTATACGGCGACCTAAAACTGCTCCTTGCGAATGATATGAACTACCATGGTAAGCTTACTCTCGTTTGTCTTCAGTTCGAATAGACACATGTCGCCGACGCGCAGGCGGCCATTGCCACGAGCAAAATTGGGCCAACCTCCATTAAGAAACCACCTTCTATCACAGCATGACAGAGAGTGGAGAAATCGCGTATACATACCATGCTCAAATCGGCCCTAATCCCGGAATCTCCCTCCAAGAAGCCAGGGGGGCATTTGCAAGGGCCAAGGCGGGTGTGCGGGTGGTAAGGAAGGGCTCAAGGAGACGAGCTGCGGTGCGCCGTTGGGGCCAGCAAGCTTGTCTGTTGTCTCTACGTCGGAAAAGAGCAAACAAACCAAAAAAAAACCCTGATGAGAAGCACAAAAATCGCTTTGTAGTCATGTACCGGTGCTAGTATATCCGCTCATAATAATATTTATGGTACTGGTACAACACTATTTGTTGACGTCGGAAGTGATCCGAATCAAACATCAATAGGGCCTTGGACGCCCGGGCCGCTACGGACCGAAGAACGCAGCGAGGATATCACTCTTTCGTGGTGAAGAACGGAGAGGTTTATAAGCAAACCACCAAAGGATAACCAACGTGGTTACGTGATGAAGAACCGGCTAGTTTTCAGACAAACTAGCAAAGAAACCGTCGAAGCTCTCGTCCGGGAGGGACCCCGTCCGGGCAAGAACGTCGTCGGGTTGCCCTAGGTCGGCCGGCAAGCCTAGGGCACCATCCTTGGTCGTTGGATCAAAGGATGAACAGCATGGGGGGTGGAGAAGAGGGTAAAAAGGTTGGAGTAGAGGTAATAGATTGATTTGTTTGTTGATTGGATAGATGAGAACTCAATCGGCCATGATCCTCTCATATATATAGAGGGGGTGGTCTTATCCCGGTAGGAAACCTCTCCAAGCCTTATTTTTTAAGTTTTCCACGAGTTTAGAACAGTTCGGATCGAAATCCAAAAGACCAGATCCGAACATGATTTTCTGTTAGGTATGTCGGAAGTCCCGACAGTCGGAACTTCCGACTTTTGTCGGAACTCTCGACATAGGGGTAACCCTAGACACCCCAGCAGATTTCTTAAGGCTTCCCGGAAGTCCCGACACCCGTCGAAACTTTCGACAGTCAGAAGTCCCGACTTGGGTTGGAACTCCCGACAACGAGGCATCTTTCCGAGGGCATAACTTCTTTATCCGGACTTTGAATTAGACGTTCCATATATGTTTTTTTACCTTCTCGACGAGAGGAACGCAATAGTGAAGTCCGTTTCATATTTTGACAACTTCACAAAATGGACATTTTTAGTTGTCAACACTTTTTTCATAATATTTATGGTACTCTAAAATATTATTTATAAAATTAGATTAAACGATCTATCTAATGATATTAATTTTATAACATAAATATTATTATTTTTTATATATATTTAGTCAAAGTTGTTTATTGAAAAGCAAAAAAGACAGTTATTTAGGGACGGAGGGAGTCCCAAGATAGCAGTCGTTATAGGATCATGTAGGTCAAACATTCTCAACTTTGATTAGGTTTATAGAAAATGCATGTAACATTTTATATCTCCAAACAAGTTTATTATGAAAGTATATTCAACGATCTACCTAATGATACTAATTATTTATTATAAATATTAATATTTTTTATATATATTTGGTCAAAGTTAAACGTGTTTGACTTCATAGGAAGTGAGATTGACATCTATTTTAGGGCAGATGGAGTACCAATTTGGTTGTGAGCTACTGTGACACTGTGAATTCATCTTTGACCACTAAAGGAGCACAAAAGCCATGTTGTTGCATATGCAACAAACATTGATGCTGTTCCTGGTGTCACCAATGTCGAGCCGCACACCAACTCTTTGACGCTGGGCATTGAAATGGACACCGACATCAACCTCGCGGACGCGGCAGTGCTTGTGGAGGCTGCATCTATCCAAGGATCTCAACTCTGAGAAGTTGTATGTGGAGGCTACTGCAAGTGAAGCAAAAGCAGACAGTGAGTGGTGGCCCCGTTTCAGCCCCCTTGTTCGGCTTACCCCATATCCGATTTGTTCGGCTTATTTTTTCAGCCTGAACAGTGTTTTTCTCTCACAACAATTCAGTCAGAATAGTATTTTTCAGTCAGTTTCAGCCAAAATTCAGCGAGCCGAACGGGGCCAATTCTGACAGTGAGCGGTGGCATCACTGACCATTGTGAATGCTGTTGTACCGGTCAGCAAGCCCACTATTACCACATCATCAGCAAGCAATCTTGTCTTGAAAACACGTTACTACCCCAAATTAGCCTAACTAATTTGCAATCTAGTTGTGAAAAAAAAACTTGAGTCACTACTCACTAATGAAAACATGCTACTACCCTGAATATTCTTTTTTCTTGTCTCAGTGTACCGTGCGCTCATAAATTTGCACAGCAAGGAAAACGCTTGCAGTTGCCTACTAATGGAACACAAACAGTATTGCATTAATTTTCCTTTTTACCATAAGAATTAACTAGCAAAAGATGCTGCATCGCTTAAAAATTACTAGAACCAGTCTGGATGGATACTGATGGCGTGCATCAAATTAAAGAGTTGCACAGATAATTCAACGACAACCATGGATTATTTCAAAGTACTACAAAATAACAAAAATAAACCACAAGGGTGCCAGCACAAAGAAAAGGTCACCATTTTCTTCTAGATTATACTACAAACTAAAGCTCCTTCCTGGGAATGATATGGACCATCATGGTAAGCTTCCTCTCTTTTCTCTTCAGTTCAAACAGACAGATATCACCAAGACCTAGACCATTGTCACGAACAAATTTGTGCCAACCTCTAGAAAGATAATGCCTTTGACGAGTTGTCACTATATTGGCCTTCCATATATTTCTCCCGCACCAGAGCACCACAGTTTGCCCTCCAGCTGGGAGATTTACAGCAGTAGCATATCGCGAACCTAATTCCTGATGTGTTATGTATACAAAGTTAGAAAAGCAAACCTAATTCCTGATGTGTCACAGATATAGAAAGTTAGAAAAACAATGACAGCAAGGCCGACATTTGAAATGAACTAATTCTAAATTTATATTATTGGCCTTTATATACGCAGTCTTTTACAGGGAGGAATAAGACATTACTCATGTTGTAACAAAAAGTTTTTCATATATGAAAGCAGGTGCATATATAGTTTGGCATTCATACAACAGCAATCATGTCAACATCAATAAACCAGGTTAAGGTGACAGTAACTAACTTTAGAAGAATGAATAATAATAACTGAATGAATTTAGAAGAGAATTGAACTTACTAGTGTAGGTGTCCGAGACATCCCAAGGCTGCTCCGCCTCATGATTGCTACATAAATGGGAACTTCAGATTTGATGGCTTGCACTCTTTCTTCAACAATCTTCTTTTGGGATTTAGATAGACCGCTATTGGATGGTAAAATGTAGAGAGGCTGAGATGGACTACCAGAATCTTCTCTCTCCAGAGATTCACGCAAATTTTCATTCATGCCACTTTCCGATGAAACATGCTCTCCTGCAGATAGTTTTAGGGTATAAGAAGTGAATAATAAGTAATCCAAAATGCAATTGATTTTCTAATACTTTGCAATAATACCATCCGTTGGCTCCTTAATATAAACTTCTGAAGCCATATTTGGACTAGATCCACCAGGGCATGGGCCAGCCCTTTGAAAACCAGTTTCACTCCTGGAACAAGTAGCTGCTGCGCAAATTAGATAGACTGTAAACGTAAAACTTCTCCCAAACTTTTCCGGTAAAAAGGCGCAGATATCTCCCTCCTGCACATCATTGTCACGGACAAAGTCTAACCACTGCCCTTGAAGCCTGTACACACTACCTTTTGTTGTGTTGAATTTGGGATGCCACTTCTTGCTCTTGCCTGGTCTCTGAAGTGTGACATTTGCGTTTCCATGTGGAAAATATGCAAATGCATATTCCTTTATAATATCCTGATTACAGATGGAACATGATGTGATGTAAACAAACAACCAAGACTACTAAAAAAATAATAGTTTCAACAGTAAACAAAAGGGAAAAAAGTGTCATTTGTCCACATATAGTCAGAAGGCTCATGAGAATTTGAAGAGGGTTAAATTTAGCTTATACCTACGGCAGCATGTACATCAGCAAAAAGGAAATAATTTTTGGGAGCGGTGACATGCTATTCAACAGTAGTGAACTTACAACAGAAGGAGCTGGGGGATGAACATGGCTCTTCCGCATGACGGCAATGTAAACAGTAGTTTTAGGTTGAATCTCCTGGATCAGCAAAGTTACTCTCTCCTTTTGTTCTTGAGATAGATAAGTTCGATGTGATACAATATAATCAGCCCCTGGTGCCTGAAGATCATCTGACTCAAAAGATTCATTTTCAGATGGAATGTCTTCTCCTGTGCAAATTGACGCAACAGGCAATAGGAATAAGTAAGGTAAAATTTGAGGCAAATATGAAAGTAACTTATAAGTTAAAACTGTTAACCTGAGCCACCAGATGACGAGGATGTTACAGTCATCTTCAAAGTTTCCTCATGTCGACTGGAAAGTTTCCCTGACGATCCTATGGTATCAAACTGAGAGCTGCTTGAAATATCAACATAATCTACTCTTGTTTCTCCAACACTTGGGATGCTTTTTATGCCATCACAACAAATGATTTTCTCACAACCATCGGAATCAAAGATCAGAACCTTGAAAACAGAGTTTTCAATGTGCTGGAACAGCAAGAAGTCGTTCTGTTCAATATGATGGGCACCAACAAATTCCTCCCAACCATGTCTGAGAACTATCTTATTATAACATTCCATAACTTCAACATTATATACGCTGCCATTAGGGGATTCTAACTTGATAGTTTGGGATAACTTTCCTACAAAATGCTTCAGAAATTTGTTTGGCACAATCTGTAGTAACATTGAAAGGAATTGGTGTAAATAGAGCAAGTCCTGGCCAGGTCAACCGAAAACAAATAATGTAATCTGAGATATGTTTGTCCGGAACACAGGATATGTATCAGTAAACAGATATCGTTTTTTATGGAGCAAACTATATTTATGATGTCTTTAGAAAAGGGAAATTGAAGCTTTGGCTATTTTAACACGGCATACAAGAGTTTCTGTCACTGTTTTAAGCCTTGGACATATCAAATGAAACACTAAAAATAATTTAAGAACTTCTGTGATTTAAATTATGTTTCTCACTATGAGGACCATATGGTCGTAGGGGTGTCACTCTTCCCAGTGTTCAGGAAGTAGCTAGCTAGCAGCCTAGCACCCTTCAGTTCTTCCTGCCTACCCCAAATCAAGTTAATCAAAGTACTAAATCCAGTCTCCATTTACCAAATCGAAATTTACATTTTTGGTATAAAATATTGGGAAATGCAAGTTATGGAAAGCAAGATATCAAACTTGAGAAGTATTACCATGATATGTTTAGGACCGGCAGTCATACGCCTGAGGAAGCAGCTCATACTTTGATTCTTCTCATCCGGATGGTCCAAGTATCTTTTGCAATGATCACAAGGTTTCTTCATTCGGGAAGGACCACTTCTAGCCATGTCAGCTGGAATTGCAGTTCGTATTAGAAACATATTCAATTAAAAAGAAGACTCTGCTCTGCTGCACACTAGCTCATTTCCAGCATAAAAAAAAATCTTAACACTACATCAAAAATATAGTTTGCTCTATAAAAAACGAGTTTTTTTCCCCTGGAAATCATTACAGAGGTGGCAACTCTTGTCTATGCATAGTTTAATAAAGCAATTGCATTACACTAAGATGTTGCAATTGGGCACCCAAAATATAATCCATTTTAAAATTCAGCTCAAGAGAAATGGTTCCCTATGCTACTACCAGTACCAGACAAAAGCAGGCTCAAAATCAAACAAAAATATAATGCAAAGAACTGAACAAATCAAAGCTGCTCTTCACTCTCTTACATTATTGATGCTCGAAGGAGAAGAGAAAACACCCTTGCCTCTGCATAGAAGCTCCGACGAAGAATGGTGATAGGCTGATAGCCTCAGAGCTAGTGATACACACACATATATACACGCGCCCAAGCCATGAAGCCAGGCATCACCATTACATGGATACAGAAGTAAAAGCAAGTGCTGGATGCAGAGGTGATCAACTCTCTTTTAGGAAGACTTGATGGAATGACAGTTCAGTGAATTATTGCAGGGAATCCACACACAGAACGAAGCTGCCATCATGTCCTCTCTGAAAAGGAGTATAGTATAACTTTTAAAAAAAATGAAATGGAGCATGTACTTATAATTAGTTAACAGTTTCCGCATCACTATAGAAACGAAATGTATTATACTGTGGCCCAGATGAAACAACCTGTAGAAATTAAATGGTAATTTGCAATACATGCCTGTATCCAATCGTTCCTATTGACTTGCCAGCAGTCACTCCTTGCAAACACAACACACATCTACTGGCCATTTGTGTGGAGAGAAGTGGGAGGAACCCAAAAGCTCAGAATATGAATGCTCATGTGAGCTCAGTCAGGAGTCAGGAATCTAGAAGAACATTGATGCTTCAGAATATTTCGTCAGATTACCTGCGCGTGCGCAATAATATGATATGACCCATCAGGTCTGGCAAAAGTTACGAATATACGATCCCATCAGGTCTGATCCAATCGTTCCAATCACACCTGTGGATTTTGGCAGCGAGACCTCCCCTCCTCGGCTCCGCCTCCTCGCCTACTCTAGTCTGGTCGAAGCCCACCAAGATCGGCGCATGGCGAGCCATCCGGTGAGGTTCGGCCGCGCACCGCCGTCCTTCAACGCTACCGGCCGCCGGCCTCCCGTTTCCCTCCGTCCGCTGCTCCACCAGGCCCGGCGAGCCTGGTGTCGCATGCCGCTCGCTCTCCACCTCTCCTCTTTCGCTCCAACACCCAGTTCTCATGAACCATTGACTCCAAGCCGCTCTGGTCCACCGGTCCATAAAGTCAGCCGTGATACAGTAACTTGCGGCAACGGCCGCACTGCAGGCCCACTAGTCAGCAATAGAGGTCGCACTGGTTCACTGGACGGATAGCTCGATCAGACACTGGTCTACGAGCATCTTTCTATATGAATCCTGCGTCCAAACCGCGGCCAGGCAGCGTGCCACGTCACCGGCTTTTCCCGGCCGTTCGATCGGGCGCGCGGACGGCCCAGATCGGACGAGGAGCAGTCATTTTACGAAAAAACCCTTCAACTTTTCGTAAATCAACCCGCACTCCAGAGACCCTCTCAGAATATTTTTCAAAAAACACCTCAGATTATTTCGAAATCAACCTCCGCCCCTCCCTGTCCTCTCCTCCCTACGCAGCCTCCACACGGTCATCGCTCGAGCAATGCGCAGTGGAGGGCGCAGAGGCACGCGAGATCCGGAGGCGCGCAGATCGGGCGAACCTTATCAGGACCGACGGTGGTCATGGTCGGCGGAGGAGGAGGCGGCGCTGGCTCCTCCCTGTCCTCTCCTCCCCGCACCGCCTCCATGCCGGCACGAGCACTGTCGTCGGTTGACCATGGGAAGCCGGACGACCTCTAGGGCGTGGGAGAGTAAGTGGACCCCTCACCTATGGCCGCGCATGGCTACCAGCTTACCGCCTCCTCCACGGCGCATCCACAGATCGTCGACCTCCTCCATACAACGCGTCGAGGAGCGGTCTCTTTTGCTTGGCGAGGCGGTGGGATCTATGGCGGAGAATCCACAAAGGGCACTTGGGTCCTCGGCATGGCGATGGAGCTTGACGTCTCAAATGACGGCGGTCCCAGGTGAGGTCTTGGCTGCAATTTTTTTATCTATCTTCACTTCTCTTTCTTCTGATCTCTCGGATCTGGTGCCACTGATGAAGGTTCTGAAGAGCATGGCCAAACAGCAGGAGGCATTGGATCTCTGTCCCCGACCGCTGCCACCGTTAAGTCATCGATCTGCACTAGGCTGCCGACACCGCCCTACAGTCCCTGCCAGCCATCAAGGTGAGGCCTTCCTCTCCCTCACTCCGATTTGTATACAGCCTAGGATAATGCAATGTTGGAGATTAGCTATTGTTACCTACAGTACTGCTAAAGATGAGAAATTATTTTGTTTGTTAGTCTATGCCATATATTTAGGCATAGTTGTGATTGGAGATGCTTTGTGTATTTCACTGCTAAGGTATTGTCTTGCATGGCTTGAAATACTCTGAATTAACATATCAAATTTATGTAAAATACTATTTTGCATACCATGGTACCAAACCCAATAATCTATCCTTACTTACATCGCCATGATTGAGTGTTTCAGAATACAGATGGCTGCTTAGTGAGATTGCTAGACTAAATGCAAATGTGGAGCAGTAGAGGAAGACAACATGCCAGTACAGAGTGTTCTTTCTCCTGAGTTCCACGGTCATATTTCTCATAAACAATGCACGGCATCCAAAACTTGTGATAAAGGGCATGATTTTTTTATTGATGTATATTATCATGTGCACAAAATCACTGCAGATCCTTGCCATTTTGGTAGCGATCTGCCAAGGTAGAAGTGGCGTGGTAGCAATCCCTGCTGAGCTCGCCTAGCCTGATGTGGGCTCGAAGGTCAGCTGTCTCTTCCTTGCTTGAAGTGCAGCAGCACCACTCTACCTACCTTGACGTTAGAACCATGCCAGAGAGAGAGGAAGCTCAGCGCCTGGTACCTGCCAGTGACAACTATGCATATTACTTTTGTGGCACAACAAGTACCACTTTATTCTTTACATGGAACTTATCTACATTGCAGCAAGCAAATTTCATGGCACCATAATTTTACATTTGTGAGATCTTGACGCCTCAAATCATGTAGTTTAAAGAACACTATAGAATTTCAAGGTAGTACAGACAACATTTTCTGCTCAGTTTGAGTCAAATGTCATCGGAAAACAATTGCATTTATCTCTTCCTCTACTCTCACTTACATCATGTCAGAGCTTAATGTATGCTACGAAGCAAAAAGACTTTGCAATTTCAACCGAAAGCATATTTTTTAAGAATAGAAGAATAAATAATCAAACATATTTACCCTTACACTATTGCTACGAATGTGCTTTCATTTCCTGGCCCTCGCTGATACAAAAGTAATCAGACATAAAAAAAAGAAATTCTAAACGTTATAAATCCCACGTAGAATCACCACTAGCTAGCTCAACATGGCGCGGCAACGCCGCGCCCCAGGTTTTCTAGTACTGACGTAAACCGGGTTCACAGCACCAACAATCGTAACACCACCTGCTGACCCCACTGGTCAGCGAATCAAACACCGCCGAAAGTGCTATGTATACCCGGAATTCTAGAAAGCTATTTATTTCTTTTTTTTTTGAAACAAAGGAAAGATATTTATTTCAACCCTAGCACCATGAATCCCCTCGACGCCAAGCTCATCCTCGACGCTCTCGACAAGCTGTTCGCCGAGCAGAACGCGAGGTGGGATCGGCGATTCGCCGATCTGGACGCCGCGTGGGATCGGCGGTTGGCTCCTCGGAGCGGTGCCCGGGCCGCGGGGGAGCAGCGGGATGCCGCCGTCGCGCTTGGCGTCGGCACCCCCGAGCAGAACAGCGCGGCGCAGTCCGTAATCGCCGACAACGGGGGCGGCCTCTTCGAGCCGCACGACCACGACACGACGGAGCACATCTACTGCAACGAGCGGCCCTCTGCGGCGCAGTACGATGCCCCGGTAGTCGCCGACAACTGGGTGGGCTGTTCGAGCATCCTGCCCCCATCCCAGAGGAGCGCGTCCTCGACCTCTCAGCGTCCGACACCCCCTTCGGCTCCGTCTTCTCCGGCACCGCCGGCGAGGCTGCCTCCACCGTCCAGTGGATCGACGACGCGCTCAACGTCCCCGCGTCGCACCCCATAGAGAGCGGATCTGAGGTCTTCGGCTACGACACCGTGACGCCACACCTCTCCTCCGCCTCGATCGTCGCCTCGGTGTCGCCTGCGCGGATGCTCTTACAGTCGGCCTCTGCCGGCTTCTGCATCGACGCCGCCCCCAGCAATACTGCTGACTACGTGCTCACCAAGTGTTCGATGTATTGCCGCAGTGGCTTCACTTCCATGCTGACCACAGCACTGAGCAGTTCTACTCCAACTTGGGTGTCCGCCGTGGTTGTCAACAGCTTTGACAAGCGACCGTGGCCACAACCATCTCAAGCTCAAGTCTTCAGTGAATAAGGTATGCACAGACTAGTGGTTGGTAATCTTCTTGACGCTGAGCAGGATGTCATATGGTCAAAGCCCCCATGGACACCACCTCAAAGCAAAGAATTGTGGTTTCAGTTATCTCTGTTTTCTGTGCTCAGTTGTTCAGTGTGCAAGTGTAGGGTCACATTCTTGCATTGTGTGAGCTGTGATGCTGGGCTGCGTCCTCAACCATAGCCATCATTCAATCTAGTGGATGAGGGTTCTGCGAGCTGGTGTTCCACTTGTCTATGGAAGCACGGATGGCCACCTCCAGCTCATCGAGATCACAGAAGCGTACCAGTTGTAATTGTGAGGAGCTGGAAAGGCAAGATGATGGTAACAGTATGGAATTTTCTTGCGATGACTGAAGAAGCAACACAGTGGCAGTGTGACGGTCTTTGTCCGGTTGCCTTATTTGAGGGGTCTGAGCTTGAGAATATTGGGAAAGAATTCAACTGTCGTATATTGCTGGGGCTAGCTGCTGCTACTACTACAGTTAGGCCCAAGAGTTATTCTGTGGTGTCTAGGCTACAGCAACCATGGTTTCAGTCTCCGCTACTTCTGATTTGGCATTGGAAGCCCCCATGGTTATCTTCGGTTCAGCGACTAATCAGTGGTGCTGCTAAGCTACAGCCTATGCCATGGTTACGTTCAGTTAGACAAGCAATCAGTTGCTGGACCGGATTGCACATCATATACTTCTGTTTGCCACCAGCTCAAATCATCAATATGGGATGCTCTCAGCCCAAACTCAAGTCAGACCTCATGATAGTGACTTCAATGGATTCTATTACTCCTGCACTCTGGCCCATGAGTTTTATTCCGCTAATTCAAGAGCACACACAGCAGCGGCATGGTGGTGTTTGTCGGACTTCTTTGCTCCAGAGGTTTGACCCTGGGAATACAGAGCATGGTCGACAACTAATTCAGGGACCAAGATTTTGGCAAGCTGATATTGCTAAGTTGCAGTTCTGTGTTATTTCTTCTGGTAGCATGAGGGGTTCATCACAATACGTGATGCTACGAAGGCTACTTGACAGTGCAACAAGTCCGAGAAAAGTACAAATGCATGCCCAGTTGACAGTTACTTGGTCGTCACCTATTTGGGCATGCTGTTCAGCTGTTTTATGGTTCCCGTTGCCTTCATCCTTACAGCAGAAATATGGTGTTTGGTTATCAGCTTTCAGGGTCCAGGCGTTTCAGTTGCAGTCACTCGTAGTTGATAGATGTGGCATTGGTGAAGATGACAGTATAATCTATGGTAAAAAATCTACCGGTGCCCATGAAGGTCAGTGCCTTGATGTGCCAGCTGGGGGCTCTTCTCTGCTGTATATTCAAAAATCTGGGAAGCAAGATGAGAAATCTGAACTAAAGTTTCTGAACCTGTATGGACAATATGGGGCCTAAGACCAGAGTAAGGCAACAAAAGTGTGGTGGTGCTTTCACTGAATACATCGCATTTCTAACTGGAATGTGCAGAGGATATGATGTTCGCAATCAGAGCTCATCGAGACTTTGGATCCCGGTGCTCTGGTTTCCATCTTCTCTATCGGCTTGGGGCAACCCGAACTTTAAGAAGGGGGGAATGTCAGGGATTGTCCAGTGGGCTGACATGTACAGCCCATACATGCCCAAGACGGCAGGGGACGAGCACTACAAAGGAAGAAAAGCTACAGCAGCTCAAGACATCGAACAAATTATCAGAATATCTCTTCCTAGTCTACTGTTCATCTTCCTCCCGAAGACTCTCTCTCTTGTACCTAGATTACTATCTCCAGTCCCTTCTAGAGCCTTCTAGATCTGCCTCCTACTCCTTGCTCCTCCTATCTGTACTCTTTGCTGCCTCCTCCCCTGCTCCAGTTCATCTTGAATCCCTACCGTGATTATATTGTTGGTGTGTGATCGAGTTGCCAAGGGTTGCTAACATTCACCCTCCGCCATCGAACCCCACTATCCGATTTTTCAAGCTTCTTGTAAGGCCACGTCACTCCAATTCTTTAGAGCTCGCCCGTCCCCTCTGCCCCTGCAAAATTGATGAGGTGCATCTCTCTGTTCGATCATTTACCCTATTGCCCTATTAATTAATCAATTCAACTTGCACCGAACATATTTTCCCCCTCCCAGTACCATCATTCACTCCGACAGTCCCACTTCCCATTAGAAGCCAACCAAAATGCTCAACCAGCAAACAAACTTGCACTGATTTGCATGCATTCTCCACTTCTTAAGCTATATGCCAACAAGAGAATATATATTGGACCTTTTCAGCGCCATCATCACCCTTTTTTTTTGCGAGGAGAACATGATTTATGAAAAATACGTGCAACATTTTATCTCCAAATAAATTTATTATAAAAATAGATTCAATGATCTATCAAATGATATTAATTTTGTACCATAAATATTAATAATTTTTTATATGCTAGTAAAATATGCACATACGTTACAACGTGATCCAACATGTCTTAGTATCAGATTTCGTGTATGTATGTCTACAAGATCTAATACATCTTGAAATTAGATTTAGTATCATTGCTAAACGGGATTTGTTCTAACTCGTATGAGCAAAGTCGTAAGTTCGGTCACATAAGGCACACTGTGGATCGATATTTTGGCTGTTAAAAAACTCATAGTCCATAAGGTTGTTGCGCTAGACTGCTCAAAACCGGATAGCTTTTACAGCCTGTTTACCAACATAGTACTTCATAATTATAATTGAATTGCTTAATTATCACAATCGGTTGCATCATTTTCGGCACTAAACATTGTGGCCTCTCAGCAGCCTTAATCCCATATCCTATTCACTTGTTTGGTGAGGTATTCACCCTGTTCGCTTGTTGGTTTCAGTTAGGCTTATTTAACTAGCCAACAGTGTTTTTCTCTCACAACAAACCAGTACCAGTCAGTCCAAATCAGTCCAGAAATCAACCAGCGAACACACCGATTAGATGGAGTTTAGGATATACACATGATTTTTTTGCACCATAGAATTAAGATGCAATAGTCTCCATCCTTCTTCTACCTCCAGTCTTCTTCTACCTCTAGATAATCACAAATCATAAAATCATAGATCCACAGATAAAAAAACAATTTTTTTTTCTATGAAGGACAAATCACAAATCGTAGAGAAAGAGGTACCTGGAGCCGGGAGCTGCGCGTACCGGCGGTGCTCGTGCCGTCATGTCAAAGCTCCTGTGGCTCCGTCACAGGGTCCCCCGCTCTCTCCATCAGGCGTCACAGGGTCATGCCGGTGATCTCCGGTGAAAAAAGAGAAAAAATTCATGTGTTTTTTTCCTCTAAAACACATGTGTGTTGTATAGCGTTCCTGAAAAAAATCGACAAAAAATGAAGAAAAAAAAGAAAGAAACGCGGGCTTATCCACTCACGGACTCAATCGCGAGCTGTTCTTAGTGTCGGCCATTCATCAAACAGGTGCACAGAACGCGGAACGTCCGGCCAGCTAACGGACGGACAGGAGACCTAGAATATTATGCGACGGTGCCGCAACGAGACCTACCTGCAGCATGGATCCACGAGACCTCCCATACAAACCCGTCATGGATGCAAGTCAAGCCCCTTGTCTTCCTTTACGATCCAACGACGTGCCTAAGAGATGTCCTTCGCTGGGTAAGTTCGCATGCAGCTGTGGAGCCAATCCATCCGCAATAAATCAGTTGTGGAGAGCTACGGCCTACGGAGGCAGCATGGGCCATGACATCGCTCCTTTGCCCAATGCGTGTCCTCGTGGCTGTCTGGCCCCACTACAGCGTCGGGTAATTGAGCCGGCTATTGTTAGCTTCTCAAATCCAGACCAGGCGATGAAGCAAGGCAGGATCTCCTTCGTTAGAATCAGATCGAGCTTGTATCCACCGTACCATGCATGATCTGATTGATCGCGGGCTCACGGCGCATCATCAGGTTGGTTTGACAACATCGCTAAGCCATGCTTCGACGTGCGCTTGACGATCCGCTGTCGCTTGCCACGCGCGCGGATGCTCGCGCTGGGCCACACAACTTGACAACCCGCTCTTGCCGCTCCTCTCACCTGTCGACTATGGCTGCTTCCATCTGATTCAAACACGGACGTCCTCCTCTTTGCTTCTGTGCACTGAAGTCATGGTACCTTCGTTTGGGCTTGTTTGACTTATAAGCCGTACTTTTCAGTCAACGAACAGTATTTTTCTCTCACACCAAATCAGTCAACAGTACTTTCAGTCATGACTTATCAGCCAAACAAGCCCAAGCGAACAGGGCGCTTATATGAGTTTGTCGTGCTCGGACAAAGAACAACGCGCGAGAAATATCAAAAAGGATGATGACATGCGAGAAAAAGCGACTTGTGGTTTTTTAACATTATAAGGTATAAGATAAAAATAAGATTAGGATTCCTATTTGGACTGGAGAGATGTATCTCGAAATTAAGATTAGGATTTCTATTCAGATGGGAGGGATGTATTTGGAAAATAAGATTAAGATTCCTATTCGAATTGAAGGGATGTATGCAACACGCAAGGGAGAGAGCATGGCCTGCCTCTTTAGGAGTAGGATTGTCGATCTTATATTTAGTAGAGGAAGAGATGGAGTTTGACTCCGACGAAAAATAACTTTTCTATTTTGATAGAGGAAATCAAGTGCTTTGCAATTGGGCTCCGTATCGCGCTAGGCAAGAGCTATTCTAACTCATATGAACACGAGTTATATATATAAGTCCGGATGGAAGAAACTTTATATTGTCAGGTAGTTAGAGGGAGACCGAAAAAAAAAATGGATAGAAATTTTGTCTCTTTATTATTAAGGATAGATATAGTCAAAATTGTTTTTCGAGAAGCGAAAACAACAATTATTTAGGGACAGAGGAGCATGTGATAGTCTGGGAATTGGATACTAAAGTTTTTGAATTGGGACAACCCTGTTTAGGAATTCCGGTTTTCACAGGCTGATCTGGTTAGAAGCACTCAGGCTTGGAAATTCTTTTAAGGTAGAATAGTTTTCGCTAAGAAAAAAATATTCCTATCAATTTATACAACATGGGAGCACAGGTACCCAAGCTATTATAAACACAAACAATGCCATCTCGCATCATATAAAAGATCGGTGCCATTCCTGCACCGGTTTACCAATTACCATGAGTCCTATATAGGGCTTACCAAAAGATGTTGCGTCTGTCAACATGTGAAACTGTTCATAGTTAGGACCTCCCAGGATGGTCATCAGAGAATTGGCCAGCCCGTCCGGTGATTAACCACACCATGGTTTAAGTTCAAAGATATAAAAAAAAAACAAGCAAAATAACCCACGAGGTACTAGCAGACAGGATCACGCAGGACACAATCTCCTTCCATCTCAAGCTAAAACTGCTCCCTGGAGATGATATGGACCTCCATGGTAAGCTTCCTCTCGTTCTTCAGTTCAAACAGACAGAGGTCACCGACTTGCAGACCGTTGTCACGAACAAATGTCGTCCAGCCTCTCCCCAGAAACCTCTTGTGGCCACTATTAACCTTCATTTGGACCTTCCAGATCTTCCTCTTGCACTGGAGCACCATGGTTTGCTCTCTAGCTGGAAGATGAGCAGCACCATATTTTTTGCCGAATTCCTGATACGTTACAAGATTGGTGATTAGAAATAGAAACGTGTATGCATCACAATGACAGTCTGACATTGTCCAAAGGAACTGATTCCAAGGGTTCATCAGTACACAATGATTCGACTCCGCAACTCTGCAAAACTTTTTCAGAGTGCATATGCCATTTATGTGGTGTAGTAGAAAATACTTAGTTGATATGAAGTGGACGAATAGATTGGAATTCAGACGAGAAACATGAACTGATTCCAAGGGTTCATCAGTACACAATGATTCGACTCTGCAACTCTGCAAAACTTTTTCAGAGTGCATATGCCATTTATGTGGTGTAGTAGAAAATACTTAGTTGATATGAAGTGGACGAATAGATTGGAATTCAGACGAGAAACATGTTCACTTCGCTGTGCCGTATTAACATGATAAGAACCACAATCTGGAGAACAAAAATATATAGTAGTAGTTTAACATTTAGAGAAGCATTAAACTTACTAGCTTAGAGACAGCAGCATTGGTCTTCCTCATTATTGCTATGTAAATGGGAACTTCAGATTTGATGGCTCTCACTTTGGCCTCAATAATCTTCTCTTGGGATTGAGATAGACCGCTCATTTCTGGTAAAATGTAGGAAGGCTCAGGAGGACCTCCAGAATCCTTGCTGTTTGGAGATCCATCAGAAGTTTCTTTCATGTAACTCTCCAATGAAACATGTTCTCCTACAAATAGATTTTACACCATAAGAAAGGAATAACTTCAATTTTGTCTCTCAACTCTTGTGTCTATCTAATTTCACCCTTAACTCCAAGACCATCTAAATCTAAAACCCCAACTATCAGTACCATTTGATTTTGACCTCGAGCTCCTTTTTTGTGGTTTTGGAGTGACGTGGCATGGTTTTCCCTCCAAATTGTTTTTTTTTTGCCAACTAGACCATGCAACCGTCAGGGACTCAGGATAGCATGTCATATCTCCATTCTCTCTTTCCATGGCTGCCGTTTTGCTGTGTGAGTGGCAAGGGGAGAGAGAGAAAATGACAGGCAGAGAGAGAAAATGACAGGCAGGCCTGCGCCAAATCATGGCCTAGGTGGCAGAAAATACCAACTTTCATGAAAAACCATTTCCACGTCAATTGAAAGCTACCAAAAATAGGCTGGGAGGCCAAAATTGAATGGTATTGAGACTTGAGGTACCATATTTAGACGATACTGGACTTGGGGTTCAAAGTAAACAAACAGAAGAGTTGAGAGACCAAAAATGGATTCCATCTAAAATCTGATAAGTTGTTATGTTTTGCTATGATACCATCTGTTGATTCCTCCTTAACGTTAACTGCAGAAGCGATCTTTCCACTTGATCTAGCATGGCATGGGTCAGGCCTTTGAAAACAAGTTCTACTAACAGTTCCACCCTTGGAATTAGTTGCTGTTGCGCGAAGCAGATAGATCGTCAACTTGAATTTCCTTCGACTTTTTGTCGGTAGAAGGAGGCATATATCTCCTTCCTGCACATGATTGTCACGAACAAAATTGAACCACTGCCCCCTAAGAATGTACGTACTTTTATCTTTTCTTATGTAATATCTGGGATGCCACTCCTTGCTCTTGTCCGGGCTCTGGAGTGTGATATACATTGTTTCTCGTGGAAAATGTGGGATTGCATATTCCTTACAAATAATCTGATTACAGATGGAAAATGATGTCAACAAACAATAAAAAATAGTAAGCAAAACGTTTTCAATGATGAAGCAATGAGAAAGAAGGTCATTTATCCACATGTTCAGAAGATTTATGAAGATGAATTTCACTCACAATACACCAACAATAACAGCTTGCAATAAAAAGCTAATGTTGGACTTACCAAACGACCCAGGGGTTGAACATTGCTCTTCTGCATGACTGCTACAAAAACAGGGATCTCAGGTTGAATTTTCTGAATAATAGCCGTTACTCTCTCCATTTGTGCTTTAGATAGATAACTTCTACGTGCTAAAACATAATCAACCACAGGCCGTGTCTGAAGGTCATCTGACTCAGAAAGTTCATTTTCCACTGGAGTGTCTTCTGCACAAAGTTTCACAACAAACAATTAGAAATGCTTGACATAAACTTTAAGGCAAATATGTGGCTAACTAAATCAATGCTTAACGGTATAACCTGACTCCTCAGATGATGAGAATGTCGCAGCCATCTTTGCGGTCTTTCCATGGTTACTTGATCCACTCTTCTCAGACCTTGCAGACCTTTCACTTCTAGATGATTCTGTGGTATCATGACAAGAACTGCTTGAAATACCAACAGAATCTACACTTCGTTCTTGAACACATGGGGTGTTTCTTAGGCCAGCACAAGAAAAGACTTTCTCACAGCCATCAGTATCGAAGATCAGAACCTCAAAATGAGATTTCTCAATGTGACGAAAGATCAAGAAGTCATTCTCTTCTATGTGATTTGCATCAACAAATGCGTCCCATCCATGTCGGAGCATCAACTTATTTAAGTGCTCTGAAACTTCAACATCGTACAGATTGCCATTAGGGGATTCTAATTTGATGGTTCCTGACAACCTTCCTCCAAACTGCTTCACAAATCTGTCTGGCACTACCTGTAGTAACAGCAAAAACGTAGTGATGTAAACAGAGAAATTGTAAAAACTAACAGAGTATCAGAAAATATATGAAGCAAGCAATGTAAGGTGTATTCTCTAGACTCTAGAGTCAGAAAATGCATTCATGAATGCAGATTGTTCACACTGCAAACTAGCAGATACGACATCAGAATCTCATGCCATGTAAAAAATTCACAATAGCAAAGGTTGTGGGAAAGAGCAATATCAACAATATAAACTAGTTCTGAAGGAAAAAATAACGGGAGCTGCATAAAACTTACTGAATGTCTAAAAACATGAGTCACAACAAGCAGTTTGCAATCTGTTCAGTTAGCAGTTATGGCTGGCCCGAAATGAAGCTTATCAAAGTATGAAAGCCAGAATCCACTTATTTATTCCAGATCAATCAAAATGCAAGGAGAGAAAGAAAAAGCTTTCAAAGGCTTACCATGCTATGTTTAGAATTGGCAGTCATATGCCCTAGGAAGCAGCTTACATTTTGATTCTTTTGTTCCAAATGGTCCAAGTACCTTTTGCAGCAATCACAAGGTTTCTTCATTCGAGTCCGAGAACCACCACTTCTAGCCATGACAGCTGTAATTCGAATTACATTACATCATATACATCTTTAATCAGAAAAGAAGCTCTGCTCTGCTGTAGAGCATGCAGAACAATACCTTGACCCCGTATCAAAAATAGAAAATTTGGCTTCCCAAAGATGTGTTTCTTGTTAAATACTTAAATGAGCCATATTGCCCCTTGAAAATTGAAATAGTAGGTAAGCTTGAGAGATAGTGCGTGTTACTATACTAAATTACAGTGGTAGGATTCTTGCTTACGGTTCATTCGAGAAAACAAAACTTGCGTGTTACCCTAAGATACTAGAATCTAGCACCCTAACAGCTGCAATCTAGAGTACAAATGTACAAAACAAAAAAATGGCGCACTACAGTACAATGCAGTTCTGCGCATCCTGAAAACCAGTCGAAACTAGCAAGTAACCTGTAAAGAAATCAGAGCGGCAGTGGCTCATGGCTCTCAAACTTCTTTACTGCTCAAAAGAAAGGCGAGATGCCCCTTACCTTCGCGGAGAAGCCCGACCAAGATGATAGGGATGCAGAGAAGAACCTCCTCTCAGAGAAATGTTATGCAAAGACGATGACTATGAGGTAGGACTTAGGAGTACAGCTGCCCTTACATAGGGAAGAAAAGGAAGCCCAAGAGTCGGAAGAGTTCAGTGTGTGACTGTTTCTGTGTGTTCAATGTATGAGGAAAACACTCCACCGAGTAAACAACTAATTGCTATTAATGAGTGGCCAGTGGTTGGTGGATCTTTCTTTTTAGATGACGGGGTAGAAATTGAAGATCAGTAAATATTCTGATTCAACTAACTCAGCTGGTTGGGTTAATTGAGCCAGATCAAGTCTTAATTTAACGTAGGCGATCGTATTTTTCTAAATTTATTCGTTTTTCCTTTAGTGATAAGCAACGTACCTATCGATATTGAGGTGTTTGTGGTGAGTTTGTCAAGTTAATTTTTCTAGATTTATTTTAAGGTTTAACGGTATTGTTCTTTCAAGATAACGGGTTGTTCTTTCATAGGCGATATGCCTCTCGTTAACAAGATGCATATTTTGACTTGTCAAGTCAAATTTGAGATCTGTAGGTGGTATTGTGTAGGGGTAATGTGTGTATGTGTTCCTAGGTACTCCTATGAGTGTACTAGTTCAAAAAAACAGTCTTATTTGATCTCCAGCATCTTCACTGACGTGTTTTGTGATGTTTTCCTTCTCGGGTGAAATTGGGTTAGATGTGACCTAACAGTTGAGACTTTATTGGTGCCTTTATTTTTTTAATTAATTATATAGTATAGATGCACAGCCTGTTCGGCTGGGGCTGAAACGATCGTATACGATCGTGGATTATTACTGCTAGCTAGTTTGGTGTGAGAGAAAAATACTATTCTGGCTGAAAATTTACGATCATTTACGACCAAACGAACAAGCCGGCACTCTATACGTGACTATTGTCTCTCTTAAAATAAGGTTATATTTGGCACAGTTTCTCTAACAACTTCACAAGTTGTTTGAAGTTATTTTGTACCAAACAAATATTTTTGAAACAATTTCACATGTCATGCTCCTTAAAACGTGCTCTCATAAGGGATTGGTGTGGAATGAAGCTAAAAATATATGTTTCTCCCATTTCAACTCAGCTCAATGGCTAGGGATGGCAACGGGGCGGATTCGGATCGGGTGGAGTCCCTGTGCACCCGAACCCAAAACCCGAAATCAAAACCCGAAACCGCACGGAACACTGATTCGGGTCATAATCCGTCCCCAAAATCAAACCCGCGGATACCCGAAACCCGCTTTGTATGGCAACATAGAAAGAGCAATAAGGACTTTCTATAAACATATGCATGATATATATACACATATTCACTAGTACAAACAAGAGGCAACAATAATAAATATTTTCATGAGTCAACTTAGAATAAATTTAATAATCTAAGTAAACAAGTTATTATTATCATATTATTAAATATGAGTTTTAATTTCAAATGATTTATTTCGGATATCCATTGGATATCCACGGGTGGAAAACCAAACCCGAAACCAAAGCCGATTGGTTTTGGGGCCTCGAACCCGAAAACTGTGGATGAGAAATCATCCCCGAACCCGAACCCGCAAGACCCGAAACAAGCAGATATTCGACCCGAAACCACCCCGTTGCCATCCTTATCAATGGCCCCCTTAAAATTCAACCAAGCCCTAATTGTGGGTTTTGGTGATAATGACCACGCAATTATAGGACTAATAAGATTTATCAAGATGACAAGCAGAGAATCTACAGTCGAGGATGTTATACAAAACGTAGGAGCCTCCTATTATAAATGTTGAGGGCTTCAAACTCAAAAGAGGTTTAAATTCTTTTTTATTTTGAATTTGAGTATAGAAAATGTTGTACTATAGCGGGGGACACAATGCTTAAGCTAACATGTGCTACCAAGTGCTCAATCTTATACTCTTACATCCTCAGTTTGCTCAGGCAAGACAGCCAGCTCAACCCAGTTCTATCCCTTGCTGTCTGTCTTGGTGCGGCAGTGCCGCACCAAAAGCGCGACAATGCCGTGACTTATCTAACCGTTGGGGTTAGGGAGGTATTTATACCTCACCCCTTCCCTCATAACGGTCTTCTTCGACCTCTAGACATTATGCCCGACCAGAATAGCTCTTGGCTCTTTCTCTCTCTTCTCAATTGGTGACCTTGAGCTCCTAAGCTTCCCTTTGTGATTTCTCATCATTCTTAAGAGAAAAAGGTGCCAAACTTGATTAGAGAGTAGATCCATTCATTCCCAAAGGCTAAGAGCACTTGGTTCATATTTTAGCCAGAGGATTTTGTTTATTACTCTTGGAGCTTGGCTCCTAGCCGGCTAGAGCGTCGCCCGTGGAGCTTACCAACTTGTGTGGCAGCCTCGAGAGATTTGTAACTATCTCTTGAAGCTAGTAAACTCACCAATCATCTCAAAAGTTAACTTTCTTGACTTGAGATCGAGGAAGGGTTGCAGAGCCCTAGCCTTAGTGGTTAACCTCAACAACATGGACTTAGGCAAGCCTTGGTGGCGAGCTAAATCATAGGATAAATCTTTGTATCACCTTGTGTTTGATTTACTGCACTTGTATTTCATATTGTTGTTGAGGTGATTTCTAGGGTTTGTGGATGATCTACTTATGTGTGGTGTTCCTACCACTTCTAGTTATCGATCTGTGATCCATATACCTGTAGGAAACTCAGTAATTTCCCCGATCTAAGTTTTCATTCACAGTGCCGTGGAGCAACAGTGCCGCAGGCCTAGAGCGGTAGTGCCGTGGGTTAAATTTGACAAAAATTCAAGTTTTGTTTTAACAGGCCTATTCACCTCCCATCTAGGCTAACCAGAGATCCTACAAGTGGTATTAGAGCAGGTTACCTCGTGAGCGCTTTACCATGTGAGGTATGGAGCCCAGAGGTGGTACTAGTGGTGTGAAGCCCATTGACGTCAATCCAGAGGATGTGGAGTTGCATGACACCGACAACAGTGAGCTATGTGCTTCTACATCAATCAATACCACACTCCCGCAGCTTGAGGCTACCGATGCCGAGAAAGCTCTAAATGATGAAGAAAGAAGAAAAAGGAAGGTAGCTAGAAAGGCAAAAAAGGGAAGCAAGAGAAAAGAAGAAGAAGGAGCAGCAAAGGTTAGAAGACAAGAAGCAAAGAAAAGAAGAAAGAAAACTCAAGAGAGAAGCAAGAAGAAAAAGAAGAGAAGCTAGGAAGAAGAAGGAAGAAGAAGAGAAGCCAACAAATGCATCATCAAGTGACATGTCAAGTAGTTCCAAAGATGAAGATGATGATGAGTCCTACCAAGTGACCAAGGGAGGCAAGAAGGAGAAGAAAGGAAAGGGCAAAACTGACTCCAATAACAAATATGCCGCCGTATCCTTAGAAGTCGTTTTAAATATTGTATGTACGATTATATGTACAAAGTATTTTCACTGCTTAGCTAAAACCCGTTTGAATAGCTATCCTTGATTTGATATGACCTGATAAATGTCTTGCTCAAACTTAAGAATAAATATCACAACATGACAAAATACTATTATTTAGTATGCTTAGGACTTGATACTTATCACGGATACTCATTACTATGTTTTTTCAAATACAATGATTTCTAAAGAAAAACTGTGTGAGTTGTAAAATAAATTGTGGGTATTGTGAAGGGTTAATGAACAAGTTATAGACTGTGATTATCCTAGAGATGGGGCGGATCGGTGTTCCTTTTGTGGGATGTTGTGGTGTTGGGGCTTATACCTTTTATGGTTAAGCATGAAGATATCCGCCTTGTCTCGACTAAGGACTGAGTTGATGATTCATCTTGCCTAACTCATTTATCGTACAATGACTCGCCTTGCATGGGAAAGGCTTAGCCTAAATCCCTCTAGTTGGTATGGCAATCACCTGGAGGCAGGTGTGCAACAAGACGCTAAGAGATATATGTGGAAATTGAGGAATTGTATGAACTGTAATAAGCACTGTAAATTATTGTATTATGAGATGTGGCCTTAGTGTTCCCGTAGAGAGCGCTAGTACTTAGCTATGGAGGGTAATGTCTTTGATGGATCTGTGCTTGCACTACGGTATTAAGTTACGGTGCCCTACTTATGATGAAAGTGTACAACCTCTGCAGAGTGTAAAATCTATCTAGATAGTCGTGTCCACGGTGTTGGACGAGTTATGGTTTTGTTTCAACAACTAGATGGATTGGAATGAGTGGAAACCTGAGAGTGAGTGTAATTTTGAAAATAAATGGTTGTCTGCCATGTGTTGCGGGAGCAGAGCGTTCAGCAACACCTAAAATTTTGACCAACCCCTTTTTCAAAAATACTAATATATATGAAAACATGTCTTTTTGGAAAGGTATTTATAAAATGAAACCCTACATATGTCAAAAGGCAGCTTTATGCAAATAAACCCAACCTTATCCTTGTTATATCCGTATGCATATATTGTTATCCCATTCCGTAGGGTAAGGTTGGATTTGTTGAGTACTTTGTACTCACCCTTACTTTGTTGAACAGAGGAAGATCTGGACTTCAACCCTAACGTGGCATATGAATAAGGTCATGTCTGCACCCAACTAAGCCTATGGCATTGGAATTCGCTAGATGTTTGACGATTCCTTTTGTTTCTAGTCTGTTAGACCTATATTATGTTCTGGTTAGTTGTAATCGTGGCATGCCTTCATTATCCACGTTTGTCGAGACTACTGCACTGAGACTTATCTGATGTAATAAATATGTTACTA